CTGTGTAATGGCTTTTTAGTCATAACCTGGCCATTTAGTCATTTTCTGGCTAAATAGTCGGAATATGGCTCATCGACATTATTTCTTACTAAATAAAGTTAAAATAAATAAATAGAAAAATAAAAATAGGATTAAATAATATATATATTAAAAATACACAGATAAAAATAAAAAAAAAAATAAATAATTCAAAATTATAATATTCAGCTAGTAAATCAGCACTAATTTCGAGTTCCAGCAACATTATTATGTTCAAAATATCTTCCAAATAGATTATAACAATAAAATTAATTATAGTTTATTTATATTTTTATTATTTATGTATTTTTAACATAAAAAGGATTATCTTCTAAGAAATAAAGGTAATTTGTATTTTTACAATAATTAAAGTATCTGTTCGAAATACTTATAATTTATCTTGTTGAAAAGTAACTCTTACAATTGTAAAAATTTATATTTTACAAAATAATCAATTTTTGAAACTTAAAAATTAATTTATATATAATGATTATTACATTAAGGTAAATAACTTTATTTGTAAAATTATGTACAAACCTATCCCCTTCAATAAGATTACAAAATGCACCAATATATTCAAATAATTGCTTGATTGACCTTGAAATATGTAATGATGTGATTGGTCCAGCCTTGGATTCCATGTAATCACTCTGGCAATTTTTTATCTTTGTATTTTTTCAATACAATTAATTATATATCTTGGTTAAAATAAAAAATAAAATAAACAAATATTGCTATTTAATACTTTCCTCATGTGTGAATTCCTTTCTTCCCAATGATTATTCAATACATTTGATATCATTTTTGACATAACAAACAATTGCATCACCCAAGTAGTAATAACGCCAAGGCCATGCATAAATGAAACTTTTAATAATGTGTGTCTGCCCAGATCTCTGGGTTCACAAGAATAAATAAATAAATAGGAAGGATTAAAAAAAATACTTTCCTTCCCATTGTATGATTTCTTATGAATAATAAATCTGATGATAATAACAGGTGTCAGATTTAATAAAATTTCCTATTGCAAACATGTGGTTGTGTGCTTTTGCACACCCCATAACCATGAAATTTTCTCCATAGGTGAGGCCCCCCACATGTTGGAAGACTTTTTCAAGGTTGGCAAAAGACTCCCCTTCAGACCAGGCTTGATTGTTACCAAATGAGCATTGATTGTTGATGAGAGTTGGCACCAGTGTAGGAAATTCAATGCCCAGGTGTAACATCATACACTAGTAATTTCCTGCAGATAGTTTTTAAATTTGTAGAAATCTGCATTAGTTACAAAATTCCAACATTGGTTGGCACTTACTTATGTGATGATTTCTGTGTGTTACCTCCCTCACCTAGAATAAAGTTGTAATTTCTTACCAAAAATTATACTAACATTAAAGAATTACTCAAAAGATTTAAAGAACATCTGTCTAAAGCCAAATTAGAGAGAAATTATTATAATAAAAATACCAAATTAGCAGAAGAACAAAGAAAATTAGTTAATCAAAATTATTCAAAGGGTAAAACACAATATTGCAGTATTGATGCCACTGCTCATTATAGTTATGATTGAGCCCAAAATGTTCATGTGCCACATTTAGATCAACAAGTAAGTAAAATCTATTATCTTAGTCCATGTAAAGTTCATTTATTTGGTATTCAAGATGAGGCAGTAAGGGAGCAACTTAATTATGTTCTTAATGAAAATGAAATTATAGGAAAAGGACCCAATGGCACTCTTAGTATGATTTTTGATGGAATTAAGAAATTGAATAAAGGTGAAAAGCATTTAAAGATTACTTGTGATAATGCTGGAGGACAAAATAAAAATAATGTAACAATTTGGTTCTATTTATATTTAATAATTTGTGGATATTATGAAAGTGTTGAATTGAATTTCATGATTCCAGAACATACTAAATTTAAGTGTGATGGTAGTTTTGGATTGATCAAAAAACTCTATAGGAAAACAAGAGTAGATTGTTTGAACCATGTGGTTGAGGTAGTAAAAAGATCTAGTCCAGTTGGATTGAATAAAGCTCAATGTTATGAAGGTGGAAAAGGTTTTCAATATTTAGATATTAAAGCAATTTTGGGAATTTATTTTAAGAAATTACCAGGTATCCAGAAATATCATCATTTCTTTTTGGTGCATCTAATTTTGGTGCAGTGAAAGTTCAAGAAGTTGTTAATGGACCTTTTGTTGAGTTCAATTTATTGAAATCCAAGAAAACAGATATCTTTGAAGAAATTAGATCTTTATCAATTTTAGTATTAAAACCACCTCCTTTGGATTACAAAAGGCAAGAATATCCTTATTATAATATTCGTCCATTTATTAGAGATAAATTCAAAGATATTACTTGTCCAAAACCAATTTATGCTGACAACAAATAGAAAATTTAAAAATAAACTAATAAAATAATTATATACTTAATAATGCTTTTATAAAAAGAAAGATATTGAGTATTTATTAACAAAAATCATGGTAAACATTATAACTGAACAACAACAAGCAAATAAAGAATTATTAAATGAAATTGAAATGTTGAAAAAGCAATTATCCAATAAAGAACAAGAAATTACTGAATTAAAAAATCTAGGAGAAGTAAGTGAAAAGAGGAAGTTGAATTTAAGCAAGAAGCAATGGAAAGAATTCACCAAATATTGGTATATATGAGTGAAAGATTTCCTCATTGTAGCAAGAATATTAAACAAGATCTAAGAAAATTGATTAGCAAGCCATTAAGAAATCAATTTATGAATGTTTGTTTTCAACATAGCCTTATGTACAACTATAAATGGGAAAATAAAGAAAATCTAGAAAAAGTAGTTGAGAGAATTATTATAGATTACTTGAAGACACTGAGTTAGCTACTGAATTGAAAAAGATTGGAAACTATGAAATCAAAGAGCTCATATTTTTTCTCAAATAGAAGAAGGAGGTGAAATTTTTGGTAAACCAGCTAAGGATATAATTCTTAAAGATATTATAGAAAGCAAGATTGAACAAATTAAAGATTTAGAGGCAGAAGTAGAAGAGTTAGAAGAGAGAGTGAAAATAGAACAGGAACAAGTTAAGGAAGTTGTAACAGTTGGTGAAAAATGAAGCAAAGCTCAAGCAGAAGATTTAAAAGAAAAAAACAAGAAACTCGAGAGTGCTAGTAAAAAGATTTCTCATCTAGAAGCCCAAGTTGAAAAGTTGGAGGAAGAATCAAGTCAAAAGAGCAAAAAAATAGAAAAACTAAGCAAGCAATTAGCTGACAGTGAATCACAGAATGAAAGTCTAAAGAGGTTAGATTACTTAAACAGCAAGCCTTTGCCTGCTTTACCTGTTGAAGAGAACAAGTTATCAACTAAACAGAACATTTTTAAGCAATTAAAAATGAAAGCAAAAGTTAAGTTCCAAAAATTACAAAAGTTAATCAAAAGGGAAAAATTTCACAATCAAGAAGTGATTGCTCAAATAGAAGTTAAGTCTAAATAGTGAGTAAATTATAATGAGAGAACTGGAAAATGCAGTTTTAGAATTGGAAAAAGAAAGTAAACAAACTTGTGATTTTTGCTCTAAATTGAAAACAAAAATAATAAATCTATTCACCAAATAAAATCTTGTAGCAAAGTAACTGGAGAATGAATTTCAGATGACATGGTTTGTGAAAGATGTGAAGAAAAGTATTGGGATG